TTGAGAGCAGAGATTGGCAATGTTTGCATTCTTTGGACTACATCACTGACTGAAGCGATCCAGGGAAGAGAAGAAGGGTGTTCAGGAGCAACCCACTGGAGTGTGGTGTAGCATTTTAATTAATTAATTACAAAAATTATCATTGCATTCAGAAAAGCTGTCCATAAATATGTAGAAATGATAAAATTCAAATCGCTAGAGATCAGCAGCACCATTTCATGTAAAGCAACAGAGCACATTTAAGCCGCAAAATAAAAACCCACTGAAGTTGACATTTGAAGAAATCTAGGAAAATAAAAAAGGCTTCATTTGGTGCTGAAAAGACCTAAGTGTAGACATCAAACCAGCTTTCCCAGGAATATCATTCCAGGAACAGAGTACCATATTCTAAAAGACTTTTACCCCGGTCACCACTTGGCCCAAGTTTCTTGAAACACAATATATTGTTTTGATTTATATATTTTAAGAATTTGCTGTACTTGCTTTCATTAGCCCAGCTTGCAATATTCTACAAAAGAATGCCAAGCAAAAAAATCATTCCAAGTCTCACATTCCTGGCTAATAGACTCTATAGATGTATTTCTATGGCATCAGTAGGTTGTACATCTCGTTTCATAGGCCATATTGACAGGAAATCCTTCCAGATCCAACATAAAACCATTTGGATCAGTCTTCAGGGGCAGAACATTTTAATAGACCGGGGGTTTCCAAATTGTGGTCCATGGACCACCAATGTGTGGCAAGTTTCAGTGGTCTCTGCATTGATGCTTAGGAGAAGCTTCCTCTTCACTCTCCATGAGATTCTGAGTAAGTAATTGAATTAGGCCAGCTTCATTCAGGTGGTCCATGGAGTGTCTGTATAGCTGAAGACAGGAGATGGCACATCCATTACATTAAATATTCAAATGGAATTGTACAATGAATTTCTCATTGTATTTTTATTTTATTATTTATTTATTTTTTTGCAAGTGGGGAGGGAGGCAGGCAGGCAGGGCCTAGTCAGGTAGGGTTGCCATACGTCCGCAATTTCCTGGACAATTTCCAGAATACTGCAGTTGGAAGCAGAAATCCAGATGTATGGCAACTTATGTTGTCAATGCCATGGGGGGGGGGGGACTAAAAAAAAAAATACTTTGGCCAAATTTTTTCTCACTGTTTGAAATAGTTGGGAGAAGTTAAAAGCTCCCATTGGTAGCAGCTGCAAAAAAGGCAGCGGCAGTGACACCAGCCGTCCTGTAACCCTATTTACCCACCCCAGGCAATTGTTATCCAGGCAATCTGCCTCTTATGCCTCTCACCCTACACAACTAACTCTCTTTCCGCAGCCAGAGCAATCTGGGGGGATTTTGAGCTTCACCTCGGTGGGAGCCAGTTTCGACAACCCCTAGGTATGCCCCTGGTGAAGCAGTGAAAGGGGGAATATTAAATACCCTCCCAGGACTGCTGAGCCAATTAAAACAAGGCCACCTTCAAACAACTTTACACACACACACAGAGTCTAATCTCAGCTCTCCTATGTTAAGTCAGATTTGGCCAGTGTCAGCCGCCATAAAAGTACATGCTCAGATGCAAAAGTGATGCAAGCACAGATCTTGTTTACACTGCTGTATTGACAACCCAGTGGGTGGGTGATTTACGGACCAGGAACCTATGTTAGTGATGTTTATGAAGCCAAGGCTCTTCACAGATTTTGCGAAGAAAGGATGACAAGGTTGGAGAGTGTTTACCTTGAAATAAAGTTCTCTCCCCCATACATGCACACCTCTTCACAGCCACAATAACATGATACGGTCTGGACCTTGTTTTTCAGCCACAGACAAATTCCCTGAGACAGAGTTAATTTATTAAACAAAAATAAAACATGGACTGAGACTTGGCACATATTCCCCACCCAAAATAGAAGCTGTCTCTTTCTCAGTTTGGGGGTTTGGACGCTCTGATTTGTTAAAGCAGGGGAGGAAGGAGACTAAACATGGTTTATATTAAACAGCACGCACCACCCACATATTTTAGAGCAGGATAAGGTTTCAAAACACAGAGCCTCCAGGATATATGACTAAGCTCAACTAATTCAGTGTTCTGTACTCAGAGGGCTGAGGGTGCTTTTCTCTCTTGGGCTCAGGAAACATCATTGGGAAATGGATTTAGTGGGATCTGCTATGGTATGTACATTAAGTAGCAACAGAGCATAAGCAGAGTATTCAGACATGATGCACAAGCTTGTTCTAGTATCAGTTTAAATTGATGTTGGGGAAAGTAACTCCCAAGGATTTTTTGCAGACCCCGAAAATCATATCCATGCATTGTAGTTTCTTCCGGGGGAACGTTTTGTTTTTGTTTTTTAGTGAATGAGGATATATGTATATCGAACCAAGTTTAAATGTGCTTGGAGCAAACACCATTGTGCTAACTCTACTACGAAACTCTACTTCCAAACCTCTCTCTCTCCAAAAAAATTACAAAGAAAATTCAGGGGAGAAACTCCACATTAACCTAATATGTAGCTTGACCCCCTCCAGTAGGAAGACTTGGGTTGTGTTTTCTGTGATTTGCCTATCTTCTTGCTGTTTCTTGTGTGACTAATATGAATCACCATATTCTCCCTCCCCGCATCCTATTGTGTGTGGTGGTTTTTTTGTTTGCTTGTTTTTGCAGAAAATTAGACATGCCTTTTCATCCTTGTGCTCCTCCTCAGAGTAGACTCATTTAATTTAATAGTCCCAAGTTGGTCGTGTCCATTCATTTCAAGGGATCTGCTCTGAGACTATGGCAAACACTGACTACAACTCATAATAACTAACTGGGCAGGATAGTGCCAGGCCCCTTTATTTAAACCTGGGTCTGTCCCAGTCACAGCTTTTCTGCCACCTGAGCACATCTCAGCTGTGGGGAAAGGCCAGAGCTCAGTGGCAAAGCACTTGCTTCATGTGTCCAAGATTCAGTCCCTCACATCTCCAGATAAGACTGGAGTCAGTGTCAACAGCACTGGTTTAGATGAACCAATGTTCCGACTATACCATTATATTATATATTTTATTATTTATTATGTATTAAATTTGCGCACCGCCCTTCATCTGAAGATCACATGGCGGTTCACGACATAAAAATACAAAATGAGGGCACAAAATACATAATAAAACGAAAAACAAACCAATAACCCCCCACTTTCCCACAAGCACATTTAAAAGGCCAGCAAATGTTCAATCTGCCAAAGGCCTGGTTATAGAGAAACATTTTCACTTGGCACCTAAAGATATGTAATGAAGCTTGGCTGAAGATATTAAAGCTTCACGGAAGAAAAAAAGCACTTGGAGGAGGAACAAAATATGGGGTGGTCAGCTGTGAGGTACCTTTCTGAGTGCCCCTTTTGATTCCACCTGCAAGATCCAGACAGACAAGTTTAAACAAATGTGTCATCTGTTGTTGCTAAGTCTAGCTTGGCTTTGGCCCCAAGGCAAGGACTAACAGGACTGGAAATCTCTGTTTCCTGTATCCTCCAACCTTGGCTCTGAATGGTCACCTGCCCATCGCTTGGAGCTATGGCAGGTTGCCTCCAGCAAGTCTCCTCCCGTCCAGTTTATCTCCCCTTTCAGCTTCACGATCTGGAATGGTAACCTCACTGGGAATGTTGACAGTGCTGGTACATCTGTTACCCACAATGCTCTGGCATGAGCAGGAAGCATGACCTTGTGAGAATTCGAAGGTAGGCAAGAGAGATCTGAGGAAAATATAAAATCCATAACATAAGCACAATTCTCACAAAGGACCAAACCCATCATAACAAATCATCCAACGGTGATGCTTAGTAGAATAGAATCAGTTTGTCTAATCGGGTCTAATAATTTCCTCTGAAAGCCTGCAGAGAAAGGAGCATCTTAACCCACTGCCTTAAACAGGGCTGGGAAACCTTGTCCAGCCTGAGGGCCACATTTTCCTCTTGGTAAGTTTCTGAGGGCCAAATGCCAATGGGGGTGGGGCCAGGGCAAAAAGAGGGTGGAGCAGCAAATGTGAATATTACCATTTTAAAACAGGCACATTTCTATGAACGTTCTCACATGCCTTGCTATCCTCTATCAAGGCAAGCAAAAGTTCTTTGATAACACATCCCAACCAGGCAAAAACAGTCTGGCTGAGGCCAGACTGAGGTGGATGGGCAGCCCCCCATGAGCCCCGTGGACCTGCATCCATTGGCCTTGCTAATGAGAAGCAGGTCTAAGTAATGACCTGGATGGCAGGCAGCCTGGAAACTTCATGTATCTATTCTGCCTTATATTCCATCATGGAAGAAAGGCAGCATTTAATAGAATCAATACTAAATAGAATCAATACTAACATGTTCCTCTTGCAAGTTTTTCTGTGGCTTTTTAATCTCTTCGTCAGTGTGGGATATTTTCCGTGGATGAGAAAAGGGCTGGGAAACCATCCTAAGACCTTCATATTTCCAGGAGCTCAGGACATTGAAGATGGGAAGACCTCATGACGAAGGCCTATGTTGGAAACCTCTGGGATCCCAAGAAAACATTAACAATTGCATCCCAAACAATATTCCCATTGGCGTGAAATGCAGTGAAAGAGGAGCTGTGTGGGATGATGAGGCTGTGGTATTTAACCAAAGTGTCTCAAACTCAAGCCAATATTCCCTCTCCTGAACAGATGTCATTGCCCCACCTTGGAAATAATTGCTATGCAGCTGAACCTTTTATTTGTATATTTTGGTAGGGAACAAGGATCTGCTGATAGACAGTGAGCTGGTGCTTAGGAGAAACTTCCTCTTGTCTTTCCATGGGACTTCAAATAAGTCATTACGTATCTCTTAAATAACCTATTTGACGCAAAGCTGAATAGCTCTTAGGTCATGTCTGCAACACAAGTTAAATCACCTATTTGAGACAAAGTTGGTGTGCTACATTTGATTCACTCAGATGCGGTCCATTTGAAGCTAATTACCATGTGTTCATACACCCTTGAATTCTAGAATCTCCTGCTATAGTAGCCCAATGTGGACATTCTGCTCAGGTGTAAACCTACAGGAGAAGATCGGGGCAAGTGTCCACCTGTACTCACCGAGGCTCCCCATGCGATTTAGAACTCTACACAACTGAGATCTGAATTGGAGCCTCCTCAGATCTCTGCCCTCCCTGAGCTGGAACCTAGAAGACACTCATTCCTGCTCAATGTGTAGGTTTTACAGCCGAGTTTTTGCTCAAGGTTTGTATGACCTCTGGGCAGAGGGTGGATGGTGTACCAACAACAGCCATTGTTTAGTGTCTCCTTGGCCCAATACTGGGTGCAGGCTCTCACAGCCAGATCCGACAGAGGTGTTTCCTGGTTATGGAAGATCTGTGGAGCACAGCAGCTCCTGTGCTGATGCTGCACCAAGGGTCCAGGTGGGCACAGTTGGGTCAGATCAACTCCTCGAAACACAGCCACCCAGGTCTCAGTAGATCAAATTATGGGTGAGTGTGGTCTTATTATGTAGTGATGCAGCATTAAACAGCATCACACAAAGGCCAGTGAGCACAGCAGGTTCTTAATTGTTCAACAAGGCAGAGATGCCTTCATCTTCCATGGTAACTTATCACTTCCCCAGTCTCTATCTTACTCTGTCCATGATCATTGAAATTAGGGTGGCATTATCTCTCTCTCCTTGCCATAGTCATGCAGCCTACCTCCATGCATCAGTACACACCTTTCAGTGGGCATTTTGGCTGTTGAGACAGCCACTACCTCTTCTGCTTCATAAGGAGGTTGTTAGTGGTATTGGAAAAACTAGTTATGTGGCAAGTGACTCAGCCTTGTGGTCGGTGGAGGTAGACGTAGTGGTTTGGTTCTAATTCCAAATCCTTGTCTTGGCTCATTAGTTCCCAAGAACCACCAGAACGTACCAGACTGCCCTCCGTAACAGCCACAAGAGCCACCCACAGAGTATCTATCGTGCCATATTTTGGTTCCATCAAGACAAGAAGGGAATGTCAGGGGACAGAGAGACGTAGAAGCGAAGTGTCTCATCTGATTGTCATACCCCTACAGGTGTCTTCTGCAATATCACACCAAAATAAGATACAGTGGTACCTCTGGTTACATACTTAATTCGTTCCAGAGGTCCGTTCTTAACCTGAAACTGTTTTTAACCTGAAACACCACTTTAGCTAATGGAGCCTCCCGCTGCCGCCGCACCACCGGAGCACGATTTCTGTTCTCATCCTGAAGCAAAGTTCTTAACCCGAGGTACTATTTCTGGGTTAGCGGAGTCTGTAACCTGAAGCGTATGTAACCTGAAGCGTATGTAACCCGAGGTACCACTGTAACTCAATATTCAAAAGGCTGGATACTACACGTCTAGTGTACCAGAGGTTAAGAGCACTGGGCGTAGAAAGCAGGGACTTGCACAGGAATGAGTATTATCATCCAAGCAAAGTCCCAAAGGATATTCCAGCTAAAATCTCAAGGCTGTATGGAGCAGTAGGAAGACTGGCATGGGACCTCTCCAAACTTTGCCCTGAGAGTAATCCGTTTCAGTTCTCCTTTTCTGAACGCGTGGGCTTTGGAGGAGGAGGACTTGTGTTGCTCATCATCAATGACATCACAGACACTACCCAATAGTCATCTTCCAAGCAACTCTCCTAATCGCGATGCAGAAAGAACTGCAATTTTGAAGCAACCCCACATTATGAGCTGTTAGAGAAAGCATAGTATTTAATTTTATTAACAGAATTTTATACTGCTTAACTGTAAATAAAATACTGAAGTAGTTTGCCAAGAATATAAAATATACATTTAAAATGTCAATAAAAACCAGTGTTAAAAACAAAATAAAATAAAAGCATAATGAAATAAAACAACAGTTAAAATTATGTTCTATAAGCTACAATTGTGGATAAAAATGCATGTTAGCTTTACATGTTCTTTAAATAGAAGCACTCCATGGGATGGGGAACATCTGTACAGCTGCTTCACTAGTCTATGACATTGTCTTGCAACGAACTAGAGCAGAGCAGCTGCGGTCAATTTTTCTTGCAATAACTCCTGGCAAAGGTTTCGTTCACACTAGCTAGTGGTTCATACCAGTTCATACCAGATAGCATCCTGGGATGGGCAGATCATCAGCTGGTTTGAACTGGTCTAATAAATATGTTCTCCATTAAATATCTGCAGCAACACTATCATAGTGTTTACACATGTTGGTCCCAAATGTTCTCAAAAGTGCTGACTTGAGCCTTTTGAGGAAATCTTCTGCCCCCACACTTGACAACTACTCCACTAACTGGAGGGTCTTGTGAGGACATCTGACAGCAACTTTCTATATTTTAGCACTCTGGCTGTGGCCAGCTGTGGGAGGATAGAGGATGGCTTCTTGGCCACACAGTGGTTTAAGGGCTTGTTGTTTCGAATGTGGTCTTCTAGACAAGAGAGAAAAGGAATTAAAGTTTACCAATGTACATAACAAGCCTCTTTAAAAAGTTGTCTCTATAATTATCTATGTACACTCGTGGGACAGGCATTGAGGAAACATCTCCTCATGAACACGTTAGCATAACCACAAGGTCCCTGTACATCCTGTTTTGTTTTTCCTCTGGCTTATTTGACTAAAAATGATTCACATTACTACAATCTGAGAAGCAAATCAATATAGCTGTTCTGCTCCTTATTTTGTAGTTATCCAGCTCTTCATAGACTCATAGAAATATATAGTGTTTAAAGGGACCCCGATGGTCATCTAGCCCAACCCCCTGCAATGCAGGAATCTCAACTATTCATGAAAACATCCTTGTTGCCTATTCCCTTTGAACATGTTATACCCCTCAATTCCTACATTCCCATCATGGGTCTCATCCCACCAAATTTTGGTAATGCCTACCAGGTCATATTTGCCATCCTGTTTTAAAAGCTCCAATTCATCTTGCTTGTTTCCCATACTCTGTGCACGTGTTATACAAGTTATACAGTGCCTTTGGCTGACCCAGTCCCCTATCTTTTGTTATTTGCATGAAACAGGGACATGAAACCTGTGGCTCTCCAGAGGCTGTTGAATTCATCATCCCTGACTATTGACCAAGCTGACTGGGACCAGCAGTGGATGGAGTAGTGGTGGGGTGGAGACACTTGTCTGACCTCCCAGCAGATGAGTCGCTGCTGCTTACCAGGAGGAGGGTGAGGATCAAGCTGGTTTGGTGCAAGAGCACCAGCAGAGCCACTGCAACACTCCTATTAACTCATATGCACTGCACCACCCTCCCTGACACCTTGCCCTTCCCTTTAAGCAGCACCCATTCACCTGCCAGGAGGTCAGGAAAGTACCTCTACCCCACTCCGCTGTCACTACTGGATGTCATGAGACCCGTGGAGACATTGCAGAAAGGGTAGTCAGATGAGGATGAGGAATGGGAAGAATGCAGGGAATTGGAGGAGGCTGACCCAAGGGACAATCCTAGCAAGTTGAGGGATGAGCACTTGGGACTGCACAGGACTTTGACCCAGGGATGGTCCTAGTAAATTGGGAGGTGGGAGGTGGTGATCTGGATTCAGGGGAAGGGTCTAGTGGCCTAGCAGAAGAACAGCCTGCCTCTATGGTACTGGACACCCTATGCACCTCATCCCTCAAGGAAGACACCCAGGAATACGTCTGACAGGGAGCCAGCTATGTCCCTTCCACCTTTGTCTCCAAAGAAGCATGGGAACAGTGCTGGTTCAAGCAAACCTTGCATGTCCTGCCTGTGTGAATAGCTGTGCACACCCCACTCTCAGAGGGAGCATGTCAAGTGTTGGATCAGTAGCTTAGTTGCACCTAGTCATGTATCATAGTACTGTGTCATGCCTTACCTGTGTGTAACCTGTAGACCCATGGTGGAATGCTGTACTGAATTAATCAACAGAACTTTCAAAACCTCCAGACGTGACAACAGTTCAAGTTCTGAGTTCAAGGGCAAGAGACAGGACACTGGCTGGGACCAATGGGATTTGGATCCACACAACATTTGGAAGGTAAAAGATTTCCTAGCCTTGGTATAAAAGAATTACAAGTGTGTGACACTTAAGTATTTAAGGCAAGGCCTTCCTACGAAGTAAATATGTTCTGAAGCCTAATTTCCCAAAAAGAGATTTGCCTATGAAACCATTACATTTCACCATATGCTGAGATCGTGGGAAATGTCTTGTGACACTTGGTCATATGATATGAACATCCTCTTGCTCTGAGGATCTTTGGACACCCATCAGTCAGTGGAAACAGTACAGGACAAACAGAAATGTATGGATTTTGCCAATAGGACTGATAAAGGTAGGGCACTGGTTTTGACAAATTTTCTCTTTGCAGGTGGGGTGATGGAAATGTTCCTTTCAATTGGGGAATATTCAAAATGTCTGGATAATTATAAGTTCAGATAAATAGGAGTGGTGATGATGACATGAAGTTCTATGGATGTGAAGGTCAAACTGAGAGATCAGATTCATTAGGCAATACAGATCAGTAAGGTTGAGTTCGGGACACGGGTGGTGCTGTGGGTTAAACCACAGAGCCTAGGGCTTGCCGATCAGAAGGTCGAATCCCCACGACAGGGTGAGCTCCCATTGCTCAGTCCCTGCTCCTGCCAACCTAGCAGTTCGAAAGCACGTCAAAGTGCAAGTAGATAAATAGGTACCGCTCCGGCGGGAAGGTAAACGGCGTTTCCGTGCGCTGCTCTGGTTCGCCAGAAGCGGCTTAGTCATGCTGACCACATGACCCGGAAGCTGTACGCCGGCTCCCTTGGCCAGTAAAGTGAGATGAGCGCCACAACGCCAGAGTCGGTCACGACTGGACCTGATGGTCAGGAGTCCCTTTACCTTTAAGGTTGAGTTGAGAGTTTGTGTTTAGATAGATCATCCCAAAGGCCCATCTGGTCCAGCATCCTATTCTCACAGTGGCCAACCAGATCCTTGAGAAGCCTGCATGCAGGACATGAATGCAACAGCACTCTTCCCCGCCCCCATGAGTCCCAGCAACTGTCATTGACATTGCAGAAGGTGCATATCTTATCTGCCATGAACTTTTCTTATTCCTTCTTAAAGAAATCCAAGTGGGCTGCCTTTGCTACTTGCTGTACTAGCAAATTCCAGTTCAACTACTGTATGTGCTCTGTGAAGAAGTGATTCCTAACCAGGCACTTCTGTGCATCAATGATCTCTCTATCGATTCCAAGCAGTAGGAAAGCAGATGTGGGGTTTTGTGTCTGTAGGCGAGCCTGCAATACGTTCCTGGGTGTTGTTGTTGTTTACAACTTGGTGATTTGCGTGTGTGTGTGTTTTTGCACTGCCAGTTCCCAGCACAGTAGAACCCAGAGCTTTAACCGCGTGCCAATTCCACTCACGCCGTTGCGCCAAGATCCCATAGTAGGGCTGTTCAGCTTTGCAGCTGTGGTGTTGACTCAGTGCAATTCAGAGTGGAAAATGAAATCCTGAGATGAGAAGAATTAGCAAGGGACAAACAGAGGCACCCAAGAACTTGCAAGTGGCCTTGTAAGTTGCAACAAGAGGCTGTTTTAGAGGATAGAGACCCTTTGACTCAGCACTGTGGGCCATGAAAGTCCATCTCATTCCCCTGGCTGTCGTGTCCTGCTGCTGCTGCTGCTGCTGCTGCTGCTGCCACCACCGCACATTGCTGCTGGTAACTCCACTTTCAGAGATGGAGGCGGCTGAGCAGGGATTAGGAGAACAAGAGTGGCCTTTTACTCCTAGCTTTGCCCTTGGGGACAGGGGGTGTTCTGTGGTTTCTCTGCTCTGCAGTACTTAGCAGTTCCCCTCAAGTCAAATGCCTTCCTGAGAGACAACGTGGCAACTGTTCACATGGCAGCAGCAATCTGTCAGGGTTAGAAAGGGTATGCCAAGAGCGAAGCGGGATAGCTCTCTGCCACATCTTGGATGCAGCGATACTCTTCATCTGTAGCAGCCTTCCTCCTCCCCACTCTTCAGCAGTCTGACTCAGCAAGCACTTCAGTTAAAGCCAGTCAGCTACAACCTCCCCCCACCACCACCACCGCCAACTACATTTTTACAATTCTGTTGTAAAGTGAGCCCCTTGCAGATTACCTTTTCGCTGGAGACTCTGACAGGATGCATTTTATATACCCTTGCTGAAGAAAAACAGAATCTTAAGTACTGAATTGGACCAAGCAGCTCTTTTTGTTCCCCATAATACTGTTGTGAGGTTTGGACAGGAGGCGGTCAGCCTGCATGATGCCAGAATCCCTTGTGATCCTGGAATCCTAGGTCCAGCAAGGGCTAAAATCTAATGTAGGATTCCATTGTTGAATTAGCCAAGGATTCTCATTACTATTTATGTGAGTACTGTACAGTCCTTAGTATGACAAGTGAAGTTTCTCCGTGTCAGAGGGCAAATGGATGGGGCCTTCTTCCTCACCTTGCTGGTAGTGAGAAAGACAAAAGCCACTTGTGTGAGAGAGAGCTGGAAGGAGGCTGCTGGCAGAAACCAGAGATTGATTTCTGCTTGATTTCTGCTTGAATCCAAGGCTGTGACTATGGGAGAAGCAAGAGCCCCTTGGAGTGTTAATGCTGTGATCTGCATCGTAGGCTCAGGTTATATATATGTGTAAATAAACCATATATCATAAAGACACTACAGTCTCCGCTTTCCCTCTTTCCAAGGAAACCGAGCCCTGAACCCCCTAGAATTCCACACTGCTTGGAGATTGGGGTGGCAAACAAGACTTAATGCAACTCTAACCTAACAGCTGCCATCCCATCTGGCTTCCTGAACTGTTTCTATGCCAGCTGGTTGTTATAAGAACCGTAACTTTCAAGACCTGGAGGCTGAGCTTGCTTTTTCCCCATCCTGTTTTCTTTGGGGATCTTTATAAAGCTGCTCCAGGAGGCACTTCAGCTAAAGAGTGCTTTAAAGACACAACCAACTAATTAAATACATCCAGGTTTAGGCCTCAAAGCTGTACTGCTGTAAGATTTTCCTTCAAGTGACTATTACAAGATCCTGTAGAGGAGCTATCTCAGGCCTTAATCATGAGTCTTTCCTGACCCGCCCCCCCCCCCCAGTTTTGATGCAACATTTTCCCAGGTGGGACTCTTCAGACACCCTTTTATTGCACTTTCATGATTATATGTGCTCATGATGCTAATGGGGAGCTCACACATGAACTATCACTACTGTTTGTGCCTGCAAAAGTTTGGTCACATTGCTTTATTCCCAATCTGTGCATATCCTGTAACCTCCTGTTGGAATCCCATATTTATTATACCACAAATGTTCTTTTTATTTTTGTTCCACTTTTGTTGCACTATAACCCCTCCAGACAGCAATAATGTGGCAGCGTAGGGAAAGCATTGCAGAACAAACTAAAATAGAATAAACCCACCACTAACGTGGCATTGCAATATCAAGAGCCAACTACCTGGCAGCCTGTCCAAAGCTAGCAGATCCCAGCATCCCTTAATCTCATTGTTTGCAAAACAGGGCAGAGCTTGAATTACCAAAGAACAAAAGTGAAAAGATGGAGCTGGTAAAGTAGGAAAGACAATGGGTACACCCAGACTATACCTTTAAAGCATATTCAATGCACATGTAGAGCACATGACTTCCCCCAAATAACCCTACAGTTCCCATATTTCTCTGGTGAAAGCCAGAGGTATAGTGTGGGTCTGGCCAATGTGAGCATTATGGAAGAATCGAGGAAGTATTGAACTCGGCTGACATGGTCTGGCACATTTCTGTCGTGTGACTGTTGGTTGCTGCTGATTATCCCCCAACCCCCCAGGACAAGAGTATGCACAGAACTACAGCAGGAATTAGGTTGTGGCTAGAGGCTGTTGGAACAGAGTCAGAGTTCCTCTTTGAAGATCTTATCCTCTGGCTTAGAGTTTTCTTTCTGAAATAAAGCAGAACAAAAGGAACCACGTCAACATCATGATTTTTAGTGGAAAGATGAACTGGGAGTGGAGACACTTGAGATCCTGAAAGAGCACTTGGTGTCTCTCGCTGTGCGTAGAACCATAGAACTGTAGAGTTACCCTGAGAGCCATCTAGTCCAAGCCCCTGCAATGCAGGAATCATTTGCCCAACGTGGGGCTCGAACCCACAAGCCCGAGATCAAGAGTGTCATGCTCTACCAACTGAGCCACATTAATATGGGGGCTAATCTCTTATACCATTTTAGTTTTCCTACCATCACTCAAACAAGACCTCTGAAGGCAGGAAATCTCTGTTGCACATATATATTCTGCTGTAATTGTATAAAATTTTATTGTATCGCTGTATTTACCTGTTATCTGCTAGTTACTGTAGGAAATCTGGAGTGCATATGCCTATAATATTATACATATAATGAGTATTTCATGTGATCTTTTTCATATTTTTAGCAGAACAAGGAGGTAGGGGACTCGCTTCGCATCAAGATTAAAGAGCAAGACAGGAATTAGGAGGAGAAAAATCTGTGCAGATAAACTCGGCACCGAGATATTCTGAAGATCCATTCCCTAGTGGATCTCTTCTGTCTCCACAACAGCAGCAGGCCGTATAATTCCTAAGGTTTGCTTTTTAAGGAAATGAGGCAGAGTTGCTTTTGCCAGTTCCCAAACTTTCCCCCATCATCTGGAGTCCCTGTGCCCTGACTCTTGCATGTATATTCCACCACAATTCCCCAGTTTTCCATGAGTCCAAAACCTCCTTACCCAAATCCTGGAAAAACAAAAATAAAACAACGGAACTAAACATTTCCATTGCGGGGGGGCGGGAGGGGGGAGGAGAAAAATCAAGCTGTGTAGCCAGAGGAGAAAACATACAAACTGAATGTAATTGTTCACATTTGTTCCATTTGCATAATTTATTCCAATCCTATAATTTCAGATTTAAGAAATTATTTTTAGCACAGATCTCTAAATCTTTTGAGACTGCACAACTTTTCAGAAGGAGAAATTATTCTACTTCCATGATAGACTGAGCTACACAGAGATAGTTTCTACATGGACACTTTTTCTTAGGGAAGCGATAGAGAAGATTTCACAAGCACTCAAGAGGATGTGTATTGTGACTCTGAACTGGCTCAGGGGAAGCTATGGATGGTTATGCTTGATCACTGATGCAATAGCACTGCTATGACCCACTAATAATTCAGAACTATGTTGACAGTTGGGGATGCACACAGTACCTGCTATGTCAGAAATGATCTGCATTATTTAGGATGAGTTAAATGCATCTTTGCATTTAGACTTCATGATTTTAAAGGCACTGGGAGGGCTGACAGTTATCAGAATTTCACCTGGTAGGGATGAGTGGGTTTAACCCTTTCCTCCCCAGGTGTAGCCCTGATGAAAATAGCCCCTTGTTATTTACATTGGAAGGAAATCCTCCATATGCACCAATAAGAGACCTTAGCATTCCAGGAAAATGTTAAACACCTCCATCACCACTACTGGCTGTCTTGATAATCATTAATCCTCTTTGCCCCCCATTGACTGATATTTCCTTCTTCTTTTTTTAAGGTGTAAAGATACACTTAATATCACATCTAGTTTGGTCCTCTGTTTATTATTTAGGTGCAAAAGCATTGCTCTGAAACACTACCAGCTGTGTCAGGTATAAAACTAGACATCAGATTGAAGTGAAAAAGTGGGTACAACATTTCCATGGGGTGGGGTTGATAATGGAGCAGAAAGCTGTGATTGGTCAGCCCAGTTGTCATCCTGTGCACTCACCAATTCCTTTCTCCGTAAGAAACCATTGCAAAAACCCTTTACAGTCTCCAGGGAGACTTCATCCACGGATAGCACCTCCTGCTCCTCATCTGGAGTGTGGAATGCAGCCAGTGCAGGCAGCTGAGACTTCTTCAGGTGAAAATAAGACATAACCCTGTCATTGCCCTTTGCACGGACGTCCACTGAGATAAAAAGAATCTTCAAGGAGGCAATAGGAAAGGCGTAGAGATATTTTAGAATGCTCACACAGGCAAATGAATGTTATCACGCAGATTATGAGAGCTCAGAGGAGCTCCAATAACCTAGATATTTGCAAACTGTTGGCCTACGGGTCAGATCTCGCCCCCGCAACCATGTTTCATGGCCCATCAGACACACAGCAGTAATATCATGGAGCTGGGCTAGACATGGAGATTCAAACCTCACCAGTCAACCCAGTGGCAGGAAGTAGAGGAAATCACATACTCTCTGCTTTTCAGATCTGAAGAGCAGAGAGGGCAGGTAACACTGGGGGTTCTGGTCTGCCCAGAGGGGTTTAGACCTTTCTGTGAAGCACCACAATGAAGGGAATACCATTGTGTGCATCTGTAGTCAGAATCAGCTTTGGGTACTATGCACCTTGACTTGAGGAATGGTATGTGTGTATGTGTGTGTTGCTGTTTTGCCTTGAGCAGCAAAATGGGCCAGCCTTGCAGTCTCTTCTAACTGAAAATAGCAAACCTGAATTAGCAGAGGGGACAGAGGAATGAGAGGCAAGGCCAACTGACAAGGGGGGGTCTGGGCAATTAAAAGTGGGGAATGACCATCCTTTTTATGCGGCATTTCTTATGATTTGTGCTCATAATAGTATCATCTGCAAAAACAAAAAGTCTAGAGTGGCCCTATATCACTTCCCATCCCAAAGTCATGCATTTCCATCTACCTTTACTCACATAGAAAAGATAAACGCTTCTGTGTCATGCCACCCTATTCTGTTCTTCATTTAAATCTCCATCGGGAATTTTCCCCACCTCTACCTGGAGAAGCCAGAGACTGAATCTGAGACCCTGTGCATGCAAAGCATTTGCTCAATCTCTGAGCTTCCCCACATTTGTATTTTGTATGCAAATAATAATAACAAGAGATGGGAAAGCATGGTTTGGGGGATGGGATGGGTAGGGGAGAGTGACTCAGAGCTGTGTGTTCCCCATGTTTGATTCTAGCTAGACTATGCAGACCAGACAGTTATGAAGCTCTGTCTTTAATATGGGTTCCGCATAATAGCGCCATGGACTTTAGGCAAAGATTGTTGGACCTGCTCCTGCCCAAACACCAGCCTTTGATCCTGCATGTCTCAGAAGTCTTTTCACCTATTAAAACAACATTTGTGTAGAAGATGTTTGGAACTGAAAAGCTGGGGGAAAGAATTCACATGAGATCACCTACAGGTTTCTGAAGCCCCTGGTGTTTAGGTCAGTAATTTAAACAGAAGCAACAAAGAAACCTCTACGACATTATAAGCTCTGAAATTCTGACTCAGTGTCCTCAGCGCAGTTCACCTGGCATGTCCGAGGGAGGGTTGTGCTGCCATTTGAAGAAAGTTCTTCAGGCATATGGAATATTCAGAGACATCAGGAGGTGGCCAATGGAACAGGAGCAGCAGTGCCATTGGCCACTCCAAGTTCTTTTCCAGAGTTGAACTGTGACTCAGATATATAATAAAAATGGAAGCTGGCCATCAGCAAAGGAAATGGATCCCAAAAGTCTTTTGAAATACATAGCATTTCTACTTTGGCAAGTGACTACTAGTATTAAACCAAAAGTTCCGTAATGAGTTTTCATGTATTCTACAAAGTTATTTTCAATTCTAATCTCATATCTCCATGACTGTTCTCCTGGGCTACATCCACACCAGACATTAAAAGCACTCTCATACCACTTTACCAGTCTTGCCTTCCTCCAAAGCACCCTGGGAACTGCAATTTGTTAAGGTTACTGAGAATTGTAAAGAAAGAGGCTCCTATTCCCTTCACAGAGCTGCAATTCCCAGCGTTCCCTGGGAAGAGGGATTGATTGTTAAACCACTCTGGGAATTGTAATTCTGTGTGGGGAATAGGGGTTTCCAAACAACTCTCATCACACTTAAGAAATTACAATCCCCAGGATGCTTTGGGAGAAGCCAACACTGTTAAAGTGGTATAATAGTGCTTTAAAGGTATAGATGTGGCCCATATCTCCTGTTGCCACTGTCCATTCCCTTGCTGCCACCCCTGGGCTCAGTTGGCATGATTTCCTGAGCAGGGGGGTGGGGAGAACAAAGTGTGAGGAATTTAGTTCCTTCTCCTTTTCATTGCTCACCTGCTGCTACTGGGGAGTGAGTCTTGGCAAGTGCTTGTTGATGTCAACCCCAGCGGCGTAGCTAGCCGCTCGGGTGCCTGGTGCAGGGGCGTGTCCTGTAGCCGGGAGCAGGGCAAGCCGCCCATGGGGCCAGACAAGCCTCTCCGATGCTTGGAGCCTCTCTGCCGCTTCCCCCTCAGCTGTAGGACGGCTGAGGGAGAAGCAGTAGGCAGGGGTAAGTCCCATGCTGCCATTTCAGGCAGCATAGAACCCGCAGGTGCCTAAGCCACCGCGTCACTCCTAAAAAGTTTTGTGAGCCCAATTTTTAATTTTTAAACTCATTTTGTCACCCACCCGGTAATGACACCCGGTGTGGACTGCACCCCTCGCACCCCCTTCTTCCGCCACTGGTCAACCCCGCTTTAGACCGTAGTGTGCCCAATCATAAATTACTGCTTCTGTCTGGAAGGATCAAAAAAACAACAACAACCCTTGCACCCCAAGTTGCCTCAAACTTACCTTCCCTTGGAAGAGAACTGCTGCTTCACGATAGTTGTCCATCATCTCCACATGCTTTGGGGATGACTTGTCAGTGAACAAGAGAAGGTGGGTCTGAATGGTACTATTAAAGAGACCTACTGCAGTCTGTCAATATATCAGAGATGGAGAAATATGTTGATTAGGGAATGTGAGATTTGAGGCACTCTTGGAGCACCAAGCCCTAAAACCTAGAACACTGAAAACGTAAGGCTAGCCCTCAGAATCATGACAATGCTCCCTCGAGTTTGTATCCAAATGAAAGAGGATAATGCAATGGATTAAAAGCAGAGAGGTAAAGAGCAGAGGTGATTTACATTTCAGGATGAAGTAGAGCTGGACCAAGGTGGTGCAGTTGAATCTGCACAAAGTTCAGGCAAGTCCAGCTAAGATGGTTAGTAAGATAGGTGTTACTTGATTTGTCAGAACATTGATCAGTTTTGCTCTGATTAATCTATTTATCAACCCTCAACTGTTTTCCTCTTTGTGTCTGCGCATTGTATTTGTTAAACTGGCAAAAAAACAAAAACCCACAAATTAGAAGAATTCACAGGTGTGCTCTTTTTAGAACTGCTGGATTCAGACATAGGCCAATAGATGCTTGAATTCAAGCAAAAGAAGAGGCATCTCAACACTCTTCTTCAAACAACAAACAGGTGGATAAGTCAGTACAGGACTGTGCTATTGGCTGCAGCCCACCCCCAGCCCTCAATGGCTGCATACTGAGCTTGACGTCTGCAAAAGGGAAGCATAGGCAATTGGTAAGCATTTGTTATACATAAACAATTTCTAAGGTCAAGCCACATTAACCAACATCCTCCTTTCCTATTTTTGACTTCTCCTATTTATATTTTGTTTGTATGTTACTATAATTTTTCAAAACAGTAATAAAACTTCTCTCTCTCTCTCTCTCTCTCTCTCTCTCTCTCTGTGTGTGTGTGTGTGTGTGTGTGTTTAAGAGTTGCTTGTAAGAGAATATGTTTCAGGTGAGGATTTGGAAACTCAAGATTTTCTCAAAAACACAAATCCAGGACCCAAATTGATGGTGGAATTAAATATTTAGTTCCTAAGGGGTGTGTGTGCCTTTTGTTGTATTTGTGTTGTTGTTTAACCTGTAAGAATAAAAGCAATTAAACATCATTATTTTTCAAGGAAGTCAATATTTTTTAAAAAGACAAAAGCTTGATATTTTAAATCAAGGTCCTCTCCAGATGGAGGATGATGATGGTGGTGATAGTTGCTGTGTATTCTGCAACAGGATATTGACCTTGACACAACAACAGTGGTGGATTTATTCTGATTTTGTTTGTTTTGAGATGCATCCCCTATGCTACCACATTATTGCTGTCCAAGTGCTTATATCGCAAGAAAAGCCAGACAAAAATACACCGGAACATTTGTGGTATTAAAAATTATGAGATTTTGGCAGGAAATTAAGGGGTGTGGAAGTGAAGCAGGGTTACCACCCTAAAACTTTTGCAAGCACAAACAGTATTGAAGGTAAGGCCTCATGTGACAGTTATTAGCATCAGGAGCATAGAACAAGAATATATCGAGGGCGTGGGCTTATTTGTTTGCTTGTTCGTTTGCATTTAACAAAGTTGATTCTCTACAGTTCACATTTGAGATTGCAGATCCCAGTTGTCCTTTTAATGTTCATCAATGTTATGTCTTTGTGTTTGCCCTAAAGGTTGCTGGCTGCCCTGTCAAACACAGCTTTTAAGATCTTCAGCTCAGTCCATTACCTCTTTAACTGGAAGGATGCCCAACTGAGTTCAATGGGACTTACTCCCAGCATGCGAGAATGCAGCCCTCACTGCTCCATTTCCATGTATTTTATTTACCACTCTGCATGTATGCTTTTTAATCACCATGGAATTCTATGCTTCCTCTTTTTAAAAAAACTTATGTGAGTCTTTATTCTAAACGTGATATATACCACCATTTGGCTTAAGCTGCTTCTCTGAGTCAGACTGCAAACCTTAAGAAGCGAAGGATGGAAAATCCTGTGGAAGTGTTACCACTGCAATGGCAACCAAGAAAACACACACACACAGACACACACACACACACACAAGTACACCTTTCTGATGCTATCATTCCCATTTAGAAAAACATAGCAGAAGCCTGGAAAACATTTCAACACCGATCTGAACTGTGTTTGAAAGCCACAAGTCCAAGCAGACTGGATGCTAACAACATGGAAAGTAGACCGGGAACTCTCCATATATCACTGGGAATGACTGAGCTGCACACACTAGCCCTCTGTGAAGAGCCTCAAGTCACCTGGTATTGCCAATGGGCTCCTCACATAGTTTCCTGTCGGCGGATAATTTGTCATCTGACTTTTTCCTTCCCCTTGCACTTTCCCCCCACCCTTCTCCCACAAGCCAAACAAGGGCCTGTGGACAACCTACAGCTGACCTGCCGCCTCCCTGTGCGCTACACCCACCCACAGGGAGATTGGCAAGATGGGGGGTGGGGGTTGAGAGAGGCTCTGTGTCAATAAAAAGAAGGAAAGTGTGTGTGTATTCCAGAATTCACAAGAAAAGGTCAGAGAGTGCATTTCTCGAAGAGCCTTCCAGCTCAAGAGCTGTGGGATTTGGAGCATTGTGGGAGGTCCAGCGTACTAGGCCTTGCGTCAAGCTCCGTGCTCAGTTTCTCAGATCACAGAAGACGGGAAGGTTGAAGGAGCAGCAGGTAGGAAGTGCAAGGAAAGCTTGGGGAGAGAGACATCAGAACATAAGGAAAGCCAATGGCCCACCCAGTCCAGCACCCTCTTCTCACATTGGACAACCAGATGCCTGTAGGAAACCTGCAAGCAGGTTCCAAGCACAAGAGCCCTCTTTCCTCCTGTGGTTTCCAGCAACTGGTATTCCAAACCATTGCTGCCTCTAACTATGGAGGCAGAGCATAGCAACCATGGCTAGTAGCCATCGATAGCCATGGATTTGTCCATTTGTCTTTTAAAGCCACCCAAGTTGGTGGCCATCCCTGCCACTATTCAATTAACTCATTCTTGGGTCAAGAAACAGGCAGTAATTTCATGGGTTTGTTCTCTCCAAAGTGAACTCGGTATTGAAATGCCTGGTTATAACTCCAGCATGATATAGAGACGTCCTTTCTTACCATAGGGTTGTACTCAGTTACCCAGCGGAGTTCATTGATCCGAACAAAGCGACTCAGCTTGGTGGCATCAATTCCACTGTTGTCTTTGATTTCCAGGTCTTGCCGCTTGTTATCCACCTGAAGCAAAGCAAATAGCCTCACCGTTGTCACTCTGCCCCAGACATTGTCCCTTAAAACACTTGCAAAATCAATGTCATGTGTCTTGGGAGGCAGGAAAGCCAATAGGGTCTCTGGGCCCAGTAAATTATTTGTATGACGCACCCAATCCTGCCCAGGATGGGGTCCTTAGCCAGATTATGGAAGTTCTACGACCTCAGCCCCCCCCCAAAAAAACGGTTAATCTCCATGCAACCCAGCTGTGAGACAGCAATACATTATATTTCCACTCCCACAAACACACAGTATGCATTCCTGTGTATGGTTCACTTTTGGCCTAAGATTTTCATGAGGACTATCCTACTGATTTATCCCGGAGCCTCGAATAAACTTTTTACAGTGGTACCTCGGGTTAAGTACTTAATTCGTTCCGGAGATCCATATTTAACCTGAAACTGTTCTTAACCTGAAGCACCACTTTAGCTAATGGGGGCCTCCTGCTGCTGCCACGCCGCCGGAGCACAATTTCTGTTCTCATCCTGAAGCAAAGTTCTTAACCTGAAGCACTATTTCTGGGTTAGCGGAGTCTGTAATCTGAAGCGTATGTAACCTGAAGCATATGTAACCCGAGGTACCACTGTAATTTGCTCTTTTGCCATAAACTGAAGGGTATGATAGAAACATTTTAAAAATAAAATCAGATGTGGCTGTTATCAGTTGCATTAAATTGCCCTAGACATTAGAGATATGGGGATTAGCAAGAAAACATTTGTGGGACCTCTGGAAAAAAGGATCTTAAACTGACCTAAATCTCTTTCCTTTTTGAAAATATTTGCCTGCTCACTTCATTACTTCTAAACCTAATAAACACTGGCACAGGCATGTATGGATTTCCTGGAAACATTGTGCAAGCAAGAATCCTCTCCAATAAATAGAGGAATTTTTCCAGCAGATCAAGAAAAGAAAATATTTAGGCTCCACAAATACTGTTTTTTTGGAAAAGATTCTTTGACATCTTCCTGGATCTATCTTCCTGATGGACCTCTTAATAGGCCGGCAGGCAGGAAACGAAAATTCAACAAGAAATCCCAGAGGAATAATAAGGTGTTCAATTAATGTATTGACCCAGCAAGGCAAAGCTGAATCCTTGTGATTATTTTTTAAAAGAATATTATGGACGAGATATATTGAACTTAGGAAATGGCACATAGAAATCCTATACTGTCATACGCCATAAATGGAGTTGTCATTTCCAGAAACAGATCTACCAACATAGTCCTCGTTTGCTTTTCCCTGGAGCTAGTTCTTGACTCTGGTGCATTACTAGCCCTCTTCAGGCCACAGCTGAGAGGACTGAGGAGTGAGTCTTCTCTCACAAGCTTGGAAGGAAAACAAGAGCAGCTCCATGGAAAGTAAAGAGTGTTAGACTGGCACTAAACTAAAGTGAGCCAGAGTACATAAACCTTTGGGATGGTTCCAAAGACCACCAGAGTCAGTGGAAAGCGTCTTCATTGGGGGTTGGAATAGACTGCAGACTACTGCAAGAACATTGAACAAGTCTAATCTAATGCTTTGCATTTCCCCCCTGTTCTAGTAAAAAATCATATGTTTGTGTGTGTGTGTGTTCTATTGACATACCTACAAACATATATACACCCACAGACACTGGGTGGTGTGACCCATCCAATCCCACTGGATTGGGCCAGGGCTCAAGAGTCATGTTACTTTTATTGCAAAAATGATGGTATCTCAAGCTGAAGTTCTTGGAAGACATGCAAAGTGCATAAAGGTCGGGAGGGTGGTTAAAACAGGCTCTAACACAGGTACATGCATAGAAACAGTTATTTATGAAGGGAACCAGGAATGTGTGTCTGTGGTGTTTTTTTTAATCGCACAGTGTTTCTGAGCATGGGCAGAATACCTTTCCCTTTGAAAGTAGAAGCTGTTGGGATGTTTTTAAAAAGTCAATGGAAAGATGAATTTGTCATTCACAGAACCATAGGGACTGTCAAAATGGCACCAAATGCAAATTCACCCCATGCCAAAGAGAACCCTGGAAAAAACAGGGGAGGAAATGCAAATGGGTTGCACAGGCAGAAAAAGTAAACCTATCAAAATAACTCCAGTGCAGGGCAGATTTTACCTATGTTTCCTGGGAAATTAAGTCTGTTCTTCCATTAAGGGGATGAAATGTGACAGAAGTTTGACAATCCCTGTTCTGCTCTTATCACAATGAATGAGACTTGTCTCGCTGAAAGCAATAGGCCTTTGAATCAGGGCCAGAGCCATAAACTGCTTGTATGAGTTTGATTGGAGTACAGTAGCCATGTCTACCCAGAATTAGGTCCTTCTGCACTGAATGACATTTACTCCCAGGCAAGCGAGGAGGGATTGCAACTTAAGGCCACAGTGCTATACATGCTTTTCTGGGAATAAGTCCCATTGAACACAGCTGGACTTGCTTGAATGAAGCAATAATTGTTTGATTAATTGCAATCAGATTCATTTTCTTATGCATTTTTTCACAATTCTACAGATATTTTGTTCTGGACTCCTGCCTCAGTTCCCCGCACCTCTTTTCACTTCTTCCAAATTTATTCAAGGGAAGGCAGGCTGAGAGGGAACTATATAAATTCTTCAACTTTTTTGCAAGACGATTGGCAAAGCTGGATATCTACCCTGTCAACCTAGTTTAATTTTAGCTGCATCTATTTGTTTATCTCATATTAAGGACAAACATGAATCTAGAAGGGTGTATTTAGGTTGTCGGCCTTCCACAATCAAATGATGATGTTTATTTCCCTCACAGTACAGATCTTTGAAGAGTCTTTGGAAGAGGAACGTTATGACCAATGGAAACAGGCCAGTGAAATCTGGTTTCCATTTGTAACACCTGTTGAAATTACATACAAAGTTAATGGTGAGTCATCCTAACAAAGTTGCCACATTTCATTGTACTTCATAAATTTGGGAGTGAAGGTGAGAGTATTCCATTCCAAATAGGTTACCAGCTGCCTCTAACTTGCACAACATTTTAAAATCCCAGATGAAGGCATAACCAAGTTACCTTGCCCAGCTGTAAGGCCACCATTAAACAGTGGTACCTTGGGTTAAGAACTTAATTCGTTCTGGAGGTCCGTTCTTAACCTGAAAAGGTTCTTAACCTGAAGTATCATTTTAGCTACTGGGGCCTGCCACTGCCGCCGTGCCGCCAGCGTGCGATTTCTGTTCTCATCCTGAGGTAAAGTTCTTAACCTGAGGTACTACTTCCGGGTTAGTGGAGTCTGTAACCTGAAGCATCTGTAACCTGAAGCGTCTGTAACCCAAGGTACCACTGTAATTGGGATAAAGGGCTTTTTAGAGACTTGCTGCTGTTTATAGAGACTTGCCTCCCTAATAAAGAAAAAGATTGGAGTGACCCATAGTCAACTTCCAGTACTAAATTGGAAGCTACAACTAACCCATCGCTCTACCCCTACATCTAGATATGGCAAGCATTTGTGCCTGCAGCGACCAAGTTCTCTTCATGACTGGAAGCGCTAACCTGCTCTGCCCCAGGATTCGGACCCCACCCCACACAGCACACACAGCCCAGCAAGCCGCCTCCTTCCCTGATGGCTTCTGGGCTGACAAAAGACCACAATAAACCAGGATGCTACCTAACCAAGGAAGCTGCTCCCAATATGCCTACGCAAAGTAAGCTGAAGGATTTCCTGTGCACTGCTATGAACTGCAATGTCAGGTTACCAATGGGGGCTGTGTTTGTACACCCCCTCCATTCCTTCTTCGGCTTCTGCCAGTAAGTAAATAAGATCATTGTTAGCTTTGCCACCTCTCCCACAGAGAGGGGAGTGGCGGGGGATACCTTCCTGACCACAGCTCATTTACTGGTGTGATTTGAATTTTGCTGTCTAGCCCTTTTGAAAGTCCCTACTGGTAAAGGCTGAAGAGAGTTGGAAATCAGCAGCAAAGCTCTGCCAGGCTGGCCTAGTGGCAGGAAGGGCAAGTAGCAGAGGGAGGATGAAGAGAGCATAGGCAGCCAGGTGAGAGAGAGAGAGAGAGAGAGAGAGAGAGAGAGAGACAGCCTAGAAGGTAACACTAGTTGATCTGTCCCTGCCTTGGGCATTTGTTCAGGGGGGAAATGGACTTGCCATGAAGGGCCAACATAAAGCAAAAGTAAGAGTGTTCTAACTGATGGGAGTCAAGCAGTAACACTTGCAATATTTTACCAGAACTGGGCGGCAGCAGCAATAGACAGAAAGGCAAGCTATTCTTCATTCGCGGATTCCTC